TTGTACTTTTACCTGAAATTTATTGGAACAACATGTGACTTTTTCGTTGCCTTTTACTTATTGGAACAATATTATGACTTTTTGTTTGCCTTTTTCCATGTTCTCCATCTCTCTCGTCTCTACGATTGTTTTACCTTGTGTATGTAGTGGAAAGACCGCTAGACTCATTGATATAATAAAATGCTGGAGAATTGTAACATATTTAACTTATTTGCACTAAAACACATTCAACTTATGTGACAATTTACTAGTAAACTTTCATAGTTCCAAGCATGGCATTTTCTAATTTATATTAGGGACTTTATTCTTTGTTTCTGTTTACCCTTTCTTTTTTCTGGTGGATGCCTGACCTACTAATCATGTGGTTTAAAATGATTAAGAATTAAAAAAAAAACCCTCACTATTACATTTTATAAACAATAATACAGCGATTTACAGAGAAGTGAATTTGTCGCCTTCTTTAATGCCACAAAACAGAACCTACCAAAATTCACTTCCTTAAGAACAGAATGATAAACTACTATAAAGTTGACTATTCCTTTCCTAAAAACCACATCAGAGACTTCACCTGTCTTTCACTGTGTCAGCATCCAAAGCTTTAAAAAAAAAAAAAAAAAAAAAAAAAAAAAAAAAAAAAAAAAAACACTAGTGTACAACTTTCAGCTAGACCAGCATCAAACAAAACAGAAGCAATTAATTAGTCAAAAATTACACCCCGTTTGGTTAACGAGTGATTATTGATTTTGATTTTTAAATTTTAGATTTTGATATTTAAATTTTAAAATTATGAATATAAATGTAATGCACAAACGAGCTTTTTCAATTAAGAAACACGGTCTTCAATTACTTCTTTACCGTCCCTTTTTCCTAAGCAAAAAATAATAATAATACCTTTACAATCTGTCTTAAATTCTTACTAGATCTGAACCACATAGTTTGAATATCCAACTAAAAAACACACGCACAAAAACGAAAACAAAATTCAAAAAAAAAAAAAAAAAAACAGAGAGTTGGCTTTGTCTAATTATGAAGCTTTTTCATAAATGCATTCCCTGGGAATCCCAGAGAGATGGTGATTTTGTGATGCTGGTTAAGGCTTTCTTTAACCAACATGAAACAGAATGGAGATTATAATTCTTTATTACAGATTTACTGCACCATATTGGGTTTTGTACCTGCGGCTGAGAGAACGTTGACCGAGTCAAAATCACACTGATTACCCAGAACATGTGAAATTACAGTTCAATCCGGTTGTTGTTTCTCTTTCTTTTTAAAGGTTATTGGTACAAATAGTTTCCAATTTATTTAGTAACAGTATAGTTTCTTTTTTTTTTTTAATAAATTGACCTACAACATTTTAAAATAGGTGTAATTTAGTCATTTTCGTCAAGATCTATTCAAAAGCTAGCGGCTCAATGCACGTGACCACCTACGTGATTGAGATTGTTGGTAGAAAGACGAAATTGTCCGCTTGAACTCTTCTTTTATTTCTATTTTTTTTAAATAGGCCGGAGAGGCGTGTTTCTAATTTCAGGAGAGCGGGTCAACCGTTCATACCACGTCGAAGCTCTCGACGAGACAAACTCGTTCCCACCCGGTTTCCTTATACGACACTCCAATGGCTGAAAAAACATCAAAGTTGTCAGAAATTTAACCGGAGATGGTCAGAACTATTCTGGCGACCAATGACGGCAAACTTAGCATGGATTTATTCAACTCGACGAGAGGAGTCTAAAGACACAACTTGTCAGAGGATTGGACGACGCCAAAATCTACGTTGGAAGGTGTTGTGGCCGGAACTTTCAAACTGAAATTCTAACCGATCGGCGGCGAATCGGGGGGTGAGGTGATGGGGTTTTGTAGATTAGCTCATGGGCTGTCTGGGTCCGGTCTCAATTCATGGTGGGTCATCACCTTCGTGGGTGTTTGAATCTTACAATGACATAATAGGGTTTCTTCTATTGCAGCCCCAATTTGAAGAAATTTTAAGAACCCTAGATTTTTTATACTTTACCCACAATTTCAACCCCAAATTCTCTTTCTTATACCGTATAAACCACCCCTAAATCAACCAAGGATGTGTTTTTACACATATACCCCAAGTTAAGGAGTCATGTGGGCATCTCTCGTTAGCTTTTGGATGGATCTTGACGGAAAGAACCAGATTGCACTTGTTTTTAAAGGTGGGGGTCGATTTGCCAGAAAAAAGGATGGGAACCAAACTGTCACTTACTAAATAGGTTGGGGACCATTTATGCCAATAACCCTTCTTTTAACTATCATTTATAAACGATATATTATTTTTATACCATGTGTTTTAAGTTTATTTAAAATCTATACATTTAGTTTTTGATCTCATTAAATGTATACTTTTACATTAGATTTAATATACAAATTTATATTTTATCTCGGTAAGTAATTAATTTTGACCTTAAAATGATGAAGTATCCTTGAGAAAAAGAGAGAAAATAAAACTAAAACTTCCTAATACTATAAGAAGTTAAAAATTAAAAATACAAAAAACACATTTCAATAGTGTTTTGCAAATTTTTTAGATCAATACCACAACTTTAAGTTTTTTTTTTTTAATTAGCTTTTTTCTTTTTTTCTTTTTTATTATGGGTATTTCAGGTATTTTAAAGATTAAAATCGAGAGTTAAGTGTAGAAATGTATAAATTTGAGTATTAAATTTAATTTAAAAGACGTAGCGACCTTTCAAGGAAAAAGAAAATTCTAACGTACAACATGTTCTATTTATTTATTCATTTATTTTGAAGGAAGTAGAACATGCTTTATCCCATCGGTAGAACAAAATTTTTGTTGAACTCTACATATTGTGCTATCATAAGATATGATGGCCCCCGTTTATTTCGCTGATTCGAGTTTAGAATTTGAGTTTTGCTACAGTAAAAAGCTCTTACAAACAATCACATCTAACTTTTTTACTACAGTAAAAAGCTCTCACATAAAATCACATCTCAACTCGAATTAAAAACTCGAATCAGCGAACTAAACGGGCCCAGTGTTGGTTTGGTAAAAATTTTTGTGAAAAAATTACAGTCTGCATTTTTTTCCCTATAATGTATTGCTTCTATGTCAATAAAAACTTAAAAATTGGGTATCATGTACATTCACAAAAAAAAAAAAAAAAAAAAAAAAAAAAAAAAAAATTTTGGGGGACCCCCAAATCTTTTTTTTTTTAAAAAAAAAAAAACTTTTGGAGTACTCCCAAATCCTTTTTTTTTTAAAAAAAAAAACATGAAATGTTTTTTTTTTCGTCATGTTAAGTCCTAAATTTGTGTTGAAGAAAAAAAAAATTAAAAAGCTAAATAATAATAAAAAAAAACTAAATAAGCATAGAAATAGATCTTTAATAAACTCATATCTAAGTGGGTAACATGAAGACCACACGAAGTGTCGAAATGAGGAGGGTTGCGATGTGAAGGATCATGCTAGGGGCAAACACGGTTTTTTGGGGACGGGATAGCACGAGGGGGCCAGCAATGGCCCCAAAAGTGTTTGTGACCTAGAATTAGGCGTTGTCACTTTGATTTTGAGGAAGAAAAAAAAAGCGAGTTTTTGAAGCTCTGTTTCTTTTCATTATTTTTTTTTTTAAAGAATTTATGTTTTCTTTAATGTTATTAAGACTACAAAAAAAAATAAATAAAAAAATAACATTTGCAGCCCCAAAAAATGAAATATGTACGTTGCAACATTTGTTTGATATCATCAAATATTAAGATATAAACCACTATTCGGTAATTTTTTTAAATACCTACCGATAAAGAGCAGCTCTTTCTCTTATTCGACACTTATTAGAACCTACGGCTCTCACAAATGTTTAACCCCACACTTGATTAGAGAAACCTTCGAAGGATTTAATTCGTAGGGTCGAATATCATTTTCACCAATAAAGGAATGACAGTTCAAACAGTTATCTAATTTAAAAAAAAAAAAAAAAAAAGACATACTCGTATAAAAAGTTAAAGGTCAGAATTGGTCTTTCATCCTTGTCCATTCTCCACAGTAGTTAAATATGGACTCAAATAAACATCTCGTTCATTTTACCGATTTAAGTTTAAAATTATAATTTTTTAATAATAAAACATTCTTAAAAACAGTCACATTTAACTGCTTAACTAGTGATTACCTTTTCAGGAAAATTCTAATTTCATTCTTTTTCTACATATATAATTACATATTTTTTCTTATTAAAACTCTCTTAATTTTAGACTGTTAAATATTATCAAAATATATAAAACAAACCATCTTTTATGCACACTTAAAAGTAAAAAAAATAATTCATTTTATATTTTGTCCGTTTAGAAAAACACCCTTTAAACTACAAATAATTTTAATGACCCGGGAAATGCATGGGAAACTGTTTGACAAAAAGAAGAGAGCGAAAAGGCAAAGGTAGTAAGCAGTGGTGGGGTCCAGCAAATTCGAAATCAGAAAAAGAAAGCAGAAAAGAAAGACTCGGAGCAGATTTCTGCACTTGACAAGTCCATGTCCAATATCTTCACAGTTCACATCAAATGACAATGGCCTATGCATCCTCAATACCAACACTTCACGCTGAAGCAAAACCCTCAGAAAAGCAAAAAAGGATTACACTCTCCCACCGCAAATCTCTCCGTTTCTGAATCCCTTTGGGAGATTTTATCAGCTTTTGGCTCGTCCGGTGCTTTGACCAATGGTTTGGTTTCAAGTCTCAAAAAGCACGATATGTTTTACAACTGTAACCAACACACAAACCATTACACGAGATATTCCTTTTTCATAGTTGCCAAACACAACCCTCTTTTTCAGATTTGATTAGTTTAAGCTGATTATGACCCAAATTTCTTCTTCAAATCAAAAGATATATAAATAGATAGTTCCAACCCCAAATTACAAAATTACTCAAAAAATAAAAAAAAAGGGGGCGAAAAGGGCATACGGGGTCCCCCACATTCAAAACAAAAACATAGTAACTAGAGGAGCATAGAACAGAATC